GAAACTTAAATCTAGCAACTCCAAAAGATGAGTATCCTATGCCTATAGTAGATTTGCTGGTAGACAAAAAAAAAAAAAAAAAAAAAAAAAACTAATAGAATGAAAATCATAGTATTGATAATTTACCAGAATACATATACCATCATAGTTTTGTAGCAAACACTTAATCTATCCCCAACTTGAACTAATTACCCGATCCAATCATTGAACCCTTGAAGTTTAAGTAGTGTGAAAACTTCAATATGGTAATCCAGTGTCAATACTCATTTTCCAATGTCAACAAAATATACAAAAATGAAGGTTTAAACAATACAATTAGGTAAAAAAATACTACTTCAAGAACTCCAAAAAAATCAAAGGGATATGAAGAACGCCGAAGATCCTTTGCAAGAGGAATCTAAAAAATAAAATAAAAACAAAGCACATGGAAACCATTGATGTTGTTGATCTTTGTTTTTGAGAATTACCTTGATTTTTGTTACTATCAATAAAACATCAACATTTTAGACCATTAGTTTCTGTAAACCGATTTATTCATGTTAATGTTCACAAATTGATTCATCAACATTTTAGCTATTTGAATTGGGTTTTATAGCGATCCCGGGTTTACCCTTGTTGTATAGTGATCCGGACATGTGTCCGTGGATGTTGGTAGTTGTTTATTATCTTGTTTACATCCTTTCTTACGTTGTATTTGAGTTATAGGATGTGTTACGTAACACGGGATTTTTGAAATCAAAATAACTCTTCTTGATATAAAACTCTTTGTGTGTTACCTCCTCCAAGGTGATGGGAACTCGCTTTTATAAGTTTCCCGTGGCACAATCCTAGTAGGACTTGTATTTCTCCATGCAGAGTCCTCCTAGGATTCATACTCCTAAGGATAATGCTTATCCTTTTACACCCTCCCCCACTGCTTAAACCAAGTGGGATGGTTTTCTATATGGCCGAACTTCCATGTAACCGAAGTAAAATTGGCTATGCTGAGCCACAGAGGGCCGAACTGTCCTTAGCTCGGTCTTCCCCTCTAACTCCTTACCTCGGCTGCCCCTGTTCAACCTTGGTGTGTTTAGATCAAACTTCCAAGTAGCAAGTTCTGACCGACCTAACCATAGTATGTCACGACCGGACTAATTCCGAAACCGGCCTACCCCAGAACATATTGCGACCGGACTAACTCTGAGACCGGCCTAACTCCAAGTTGCCTCCGGACCGGAGTAGCTTTACTCTTCCTTGGGCCGAAGCAACTATCTCTTCTTGAGCCGGAGTAATTTCACTCCCTTGGGCCGGAGTAACTTTGTCTCCCCAAGGCTGGAGTATCCATTACGGCCTTTTTACTTAGTCCTTCACGTTTTGAGCCTCAAAGCCCAACTCGCAGCTCGGCCCAATTTTTCCCAGAAATTACCCTCTCAGTCTTCATATGGTTTCAAACTAGAAAACACTTTCCTTAAATAAAATAAATGGATATAAATCCCATATATAGGTAGACTATGACAAATTTAAAGCTAAAAGTAATAGCAAGGCCTAGAAGACATTCACCATATTACAGAAACAAATTGTGAACAAAAAAAAAAAAAAAAAAAAAAAACTAATAGAATGAAAATCATAGTATTGATAATTTACCAGAATACATATACCATCATAGTTTTGTAGCAAACACTTAATCTATCCCCAACTTGAACTAATTACCCGATCCAATCATTGAACCCTCGAAGTTTAAGTAGTGTGAAAACTTCAATATGGTAATCCAGTGTCAATACTCATTTTCCAATGTCAACAAAATATACAAAAAATGAAGGTTTAAACAATACAATTAGGTAAAAAAATACTACTTCAAGAACTCCAAAAAAATCAAAGGGATATGAAGAACGCCGAAGATCCTTTGCAAGAGGAATCTAAAAAATAAAATAAAAACAAAGCACATGGAAACCATTGAGGTTGTTGATCTTTGTTTTTGAGAACTACCTTGATTTTTGTTACTATCAATAAAACATCAACATTTTAGACCATTAGTTTCTGTAAACCGATTCATTCATGTTAATGTTCACAAATTGATTCATCAACATTTTAGCTATTTGAATTGGGTTTCTTATGTTTTAACTTCAATTCTAATAGAAGTTATGCTTTCAAACTTCAATTCGAGCACTAGAAAGCAAGAACAATTAGTACTGTTAAGATTTATGCTTCATTTAGTATGTGATGCTCCTAATGAATGACATGGTGAAATATTTTACATGTAGGATAATATTGGTCCACTTTTGTTGGTTGGCAGTTGAGAAACATTGAATGACTTGGCGTGTTTTGTGGTTCCTTAAGAGCAAACTATCACGAGCAAATAATCAAAGTTACTATCGCGAGTCACAATCAGTAATGAAAAAATATTTATAAAATAAAAAAGAGAATAATTTTCTAAAACTAAAGCCAAATAGAAGGATCATACGTCCACCAATTCAATAATTTTAAATTTTACACATTTTTTACATTGTCTCAATTACCAAACAAACCTAAAGCACATTCACAATTAAGCTATCAAAATATAAAATTCTAAAATTCTGATGAACAAAAAAAGAAACTAATGCCAAAATCAAGATATCATAGTCCAAAACAGAAATATAACATTAAAAAGGCATGTATGCCATAATGATAGTGTAGTTTGAAGGAGTAAACACCAAAAAAAAAAAAGGACAAACACAAATAAAAAGAAAAAGTATCAAGTGTAGCTAAAGTCTAAATAACCTACTAACATTCACTCACTAAGTTTTTGTAATGGATAAACCAAAGGCAAATGTAAAGCAAAAGGGTTATGTGATCATGTTGTGACTAGAACAGTGTTGAATGTAGTGTTAACAGAGAAGGAAAAAAGAATTAGATTAAAGAGATAAAAATGGATTCCAATATATCGATAGTTACATTCAGCAATGCGAAAACGTTAATATGGTAATCTAGTGTCAATACTCATTTTCTAATGTCAACAAAATAAACAAACATGAAGATTTAAACAGGAAAATTAGGTAAAAAATACCATTACAAGAACTCCAAAAAAATTGAAAGGCTATGATAATGTTCTTAAGGTTACCTTGTGCTGGATAACAGTACCACTTGCAGCAATCGGAGCCGGGAAGGGCGTAGGTGAGCTACGGTGGGAGAGAGGGAGAGGAAAAGTGGATTTGAGGAAGGAAAAAACTAAAGTGAGGAGGTCTAGTGTGAGAGGTGAGAGAGATTAGGGTTGGGAGAAGGAAAAAAAGCATAAGAGAAAAGACAGCAGTGGGCGCGAATTTGTCCAGCATGTACTGTATAATTCTGCAAAATTAAAATTAAAATTAAAATAAAATACCAAACAATGCACATGACAAATTATTAGTTGCAACAAACAATATGAACCAAAAAGATGATGTCACGATCACCATTATAATTTCTCACATGTAACAACTTTGAGAGAGCTTCCCATTTGGCTCAAATTTTCTTTTCAGGATAGCCTATAGTGAAAAAACTTGAGAGTAATGTCAAAATCATCATTCTCTACCAAAAAATAATACACAATGCTCTTTTACTAACAGTTAGCGGGCAACAAACGAAGAACTGGACTTTCCTCGTTTGCCAGCGGTGTGTATTGCGTCTGTTGCTGTGATCACCTAGGGATCGGCTTTTCTTGCTGCCTCATAGTGCTCACACCACACCTGTAAATCAAAAATCACAAAATGGCAAACAATTCTAATCGTAGGAACCTTTAAAAAAAAAACAAAATAAAGAAAAAGAAAAGAGAAAAGCAAAATGCAATGCCTTTACATGTAGAGATGTAAGATGAAGAACAATGATGTTATCAGCTAAAATTACTTTGATCAGTCCAAACATTTCCATTCCAAGATTTGTTAATTGTGAATTAAACTACTCTATCTAAATTAAACTATAAACCTTCTCCAAACTATGAACTTTTAAATCAATGAATTGTAAACCCACTTCTTGTAATGATATTTGGAGGATTCAATTTGAAGCATCATACCAAACCAAAATAAATAAATAAATAAATAATAATAATAATAAATAAAACTGAAAACTAAAAACCAGAAACCAGAAACCAGATTTGAACTAGTACCCCTTTACCCTTAACCTCAAGAGGTTTTAAGATGATTAATGTTTGTTTTGTTGGACTAATTGCATACATTTTTTTTTTCTGTTGCGAGGTGCCTTGTTTGTCCTTTTCCTCTTGTTCAAATAATATACAAAACCAATCATACATAAGAAATTACACACATTATAGCAGTGAAAGTCAATAAATTGATTAAATAGACTACTACAACACAAGAACCAAATTCTTAGTTCACACTAGGTTTTTTCTTCCAATAATTCATGTGTACATCCAACATAAATATATTGCGTGTTTAACTGAATTTGCAATTGATCAAAGAAACATAAATACGAAGTACCAACACAAAATACTCCTCGAATTGCCAAATCTGGAAATTAACATATACCCAGAACAAAATATGGTGGCTGTGAGAGAGAGAGAGAGCTATAATTTTCAGGAAATATATCAAAAGCCTAGAAACATTGAATCTCTCCTATAATGAGCTCAAACATTGAATCTCTCCCATAATGAGCTCAAACCAATTTTCAGGAAATATATCGGAAGATTTTGGCTTCTACCCAAACTTGATTTACATTGATTTGAGTCAGAACAATTTCTACGGCAAGCTATCTCAAAGATGGGGAAAGTGTCATAATTTAACTAGTCTCAAATGTCTAACAATAATATTTCTGGTGAGATACCGCTTGAATTGGTAGAGGCAACTCAGCTACAGAAACTTGACCTCTCTTCAAATCATCTAGTTGGAGAGATACCAACAAAATTGGGAAGGTTGGTTTCATTGTTTGACCTTAAGCTGAATGATAACAAATTCTTGGGTAACATTCCTCAAGTGTTTGGCAAGCTTTCCAATCTGGAGAATCTTAACTTGATCCCTATAGAACTGGGGGAATGCATGAAACTATTAAGCTTGGGAAAAACATTCCTTTAGAGATAGGCCATTTACAAGGCCTTCAAAGTCTTGATCTTGGTTACAATTTGCTAACAGGTAAGATACCACTATAGATTGGTGAATTACAAAGCCTAGAAACATTGAATCTCTCCCATAATGAGCTCACTGGTTCCATTCCATTATCTTTTGATAATATGTTAAGTTTGACATCGGTGGATGTATCTTTCAATCAGTTGGAGGGTCCTATGACTAACATGAAAGCTTTCCGAGAGGCTCCATTTGAGGCGCTCAGAGGTGATAAAGGTTTGTGTGGTAATGCTACTGGTTTGAAGACTTGCTCGCCTAAAATGAACAATGAGATTGGTAAAAAAAAGACAAACAAAGTTGTGTTACTAGCTGTCCTTACTTTTGGATTTTTATTGCTTTTGCTAAGGTTCTCGGAATTTTTATGGCTTTTCATAAGAAAGTGAGGAACACAACAAATGAACCACGACAAGTACATAATCAAAATTTGTTTTCAATTTGGAGCTATGATGGGAAAATGGTGTATGAAAACATCATTGAAGCGATTGGGAACATTAGTACCAAACATTGTGCTGGGGAGGGAGGGTGTGGTACTGTTTATAGAGCTGACCTTCCAAGTGGTCAGGTAGTTGCTGTGAAGAAACTTCACGAATCACCCGATGATGACATGACTAATCTAAAAAGCTTCACGAGTGAGATCTCTGTGTTCACAGAGAGTCGCCATCAAAACATCGTAAAACTTTATGGTTATTGTTCACACCCGAGGCACTTGTTTTTGGTTTATGAGTTCTTGGAAGGGGGAAGCTTGGGAAATATATTGAGCACAAAGGATCAAGTATTACAATTTGATTGGATTAAGAGAGTGAATGTTGTCAAAGGTGTGGCAAATGCTATGTCTTATATGCACCGCGATTGTTCACCTCCAATCATCCATCGAGACATATCAAGCAAGAATGTTTTGCTTGATTTAGAGTATGTGGCTCACATCTCAGATTTTGGCACAGCTAGATTTATGAAGCCTGACTCATCCAATTGGACTTCATTTGCAGGGACCTATGGGTACGCTGCTCCTGGTATGTAATTTTCTATTGTAGTGATTTTATCTCCAAGTCATCCATATAATGTTCATTTTAATTTATTAATCTTTGCGTATTAAGAGTTTTTGATTTCACTTGATTTAAAAGGGCTAACGAACTTCTAATTGTTATCTGGATACGGAACAATTCTTTATATATTTTTTAATTATTATTTTCTTCTGTTGGTCATTTGCTTGATTTGGTAGAACTTGCTTATACAATGGAAGTGGATGCGAGGTGCGATGTTTATAGTTTTGGGCTGCTCACACTGGAATTGATCACGGGGAAGCATCTGGGTGATCTAATCTCCTCTTTGTCATTGTCGTCATCCTTCTCCTCACCAACATTAACTGTGCATGGGATATTATTGAAGGATGTGTTGGATCAATGTCTCTTACCTCCTAAGAATCAAGTGGCAGACTAGCATTTGCATGTTTACAAGGCAATCCATTGTCTCGGCCAACCATGAGACAAGTTGCCATGAAGCTATCAGATGATCATGTAACCATGAAGATACCAGATGATCAAAAGTCCACCTTTGCAAAATCAATTTCATATGATAACTTTAGGACAACTCTTTTGATATCACTTGCTTGACCTCTTAAGTATTTGCCTTCTATCCTTAGAATGTATGCTGTTCTTGTTTTTCATTTTCGACATATTCTAGTCTATTTTTCTGCTCTTTTTCACTACTAGCAGTTTCAGAAAGTTTAAATAACTAATTTAAAAATATCTGTAAAACAACCCAATAGTTGCAAGCATTTTAAATGAATGGGTCCAATAAAAAATTCCTACTTCTCTATCTTTAATTCATTCAACATTTGAGTGGCTCAGATGATTTAAAAATTTATAAGCTATAAATTCCACATCAGCCTTTTTCTACTCATTCTGTATTCAAAACTTGCTTAATCTATCTCTTAGCAATTTGTGTGCTAATTTATTTATTTATTTTTTGCAGAGTAATTTGGAGATTCCTGTACAAAGTGGTGTTGTACAATGCTTCAAAGAAATAGAAATTCACAAGGGTGAAGTTTGGACACCAAGGAAAAGTTAGAAGTGTGTCATTGAAACCAGAGCATAAGATGACATGTCGATTTAGCAACTTGTTTGCTAACTTTTGTGAACAAATAAGAAGAAATTGAAAAGAAAAATGAACAGCACAGATTTAGATTAGGATTTTTTGAGTAATAATCTTACAATGGTGGTTTAAACCTCAAAAGATAATCATTATTGTAAAATTATTGTACTAAATATTATTTCAGATAATCATAATTATACAGATTTATATGATTGGGTATAAATGGATTTCTTTTAATGGACGAAAATCATTATTATACAAATTTCCGAGGGATCCATCGATCTTCCCAAAACTTAATTGAATACCCATTATCAACCTGCCAACAAAGCTCTTTTAATAGAAGAGGTAGCCTTTAAATGACATTCGAACTTATCGATCTAGGAGTGGGATAGCCTTTAAATGGATTCCTAGAGATGCAAATCAGGTTGCACATTGGTTAGCTTATAATATGAAGGACAAGCTCCCTTTTGATTGAATGGGAAACCCTCCTGAGCTTAAGGCTTTTCTAGTGTTAGATTCTCCTGGTAAGCCTTATGACATTTCCTCGTTAAAAAAAAAAAAAAAAAAAATGAAAAAAATACAAAAAGGTCTAATGCTCTTAGCGATCCACTCCAAAAGCCTTTTTTTCATGCAGGACCTATTCTAGATAATTTGAGATTTAAATCAACAAATTTGATTGAGGACTTTATTTTTAACATTTTTTTATTTCTTTATTTAAAAATTTATTCTCTTTTCTTGAGTTGAAAATTTACAAATTAGATATTCATATTCAAGTTTTGCTAACATGCGTACACATATATATCTTCAATTGATAATATGACTAATTCACTTGTTTCAATTTTTTTTTTTTCTTTTTTCAAACTATCGTCTAGTGATTTTAATTTTGAAATCAAGTAGAAAATCGAAAATATATTTGAAAATTAGAACTTATTCAAGTATGATTTGATTTGAAGAAAGTTAGCTAGCGATAGTGTGTATTTTGACTTTTGAGCTTTTTTTTTTTTTTCAAACTCAATAGAGAGAATTGTATCAGTAAAAGTGAAGATAATTATATTTTTTTTTTAAAAATCAACTAAAATTTTCTAATTAACTAGTGTAGCTTATTTTGAGTTTTCTCTGAGATGTCCTGGGTCTTGGGTTTGAATAGTATTGTGTAATAGGGTAGTGTGTATTACTTTCGGAGTTTTTTTTTTTTGTCGTATCAAATCATTGAGATTTCTTTTCTACTCTTACTTAACCTATTGTAATTTTTTCTGGTTGAAAATTTTGGGTTTTGGGTTTTGGAACTTGTTTCGAAATTAAAAAAACAAAAAAAAAAAAATCAAATTATGGGTTTCTGGACAAAACCACTTATGATGAATTGAGAATCGCTCGAGCGGATCCTCACAGAGTTCTTCTGGTTTTTCGGAGTTTTCTAGGCAGAAAACTGCTCGAGCGAGTTTTGGGTCCCACTCGAGCGGATTTTGGTGGAATTTTTTGTGCACCTCTTCGGAGCAATCAGCTCGTGAGGCAAAAAAATTCTGCTCGTGCGGATTTCGGGGCGTCTGTCTTGAAATTTGTGCTCTTTTCTTCAAAACTGATGCCAAAAACGTGTTTTTGCAATTATTTCACTCCATCTCTCACTCTCTCTCTTTGTCTATACTCATCTTTTCTCTCCGTTCTCTCTACAAACACATCCAAATCCAACTTCTCTGCAAGATTTAGCTCAAATTTTCAGGTGTGTGAGGGGACTTTTTACACCAAATCGAAGAGGACAACAAGGGCTACATTTATAACCAATTGGATCGTGTTTTTGTCAACTTTGAGTTCTAGGGTTTTCTTTCTTTTCATCTCCCAATGTTAGCCCCAAGGTTATTCAACCTTAAATTCTTATTGATTTTGATTATTGACATATATTTAAAATTCATTTTATTGTTCATGTTTCCAATTTAATAGTATACAAATTGTGCTTTAATGTTTCTAGAAGATTTATGATTCTAGAGTGTTGGTTTTCAATTGTTTTTAACCCCTCAAAACATGAGATTGGCACTTGTTTGCAAAATTCTATTTATGCTTGAAATAGGTCTAAGGGTCGACACCAAAATAGCAAGGGTCGACACTAGAGTGAAGCTCAGAATGCCTAAGTGTTCCAGAAGCAAGGGTGGACACCAAGAACAGCAATGGTCGACACTAAATTTCAGAATGCATTCCAGAAACAAGGGTCGACACTAAGAACAACAAGGGTCGACACTAAATTTCCAAATGCAATCCAGCAGCAAGGGTTGACACCAAGAATGTTAAGGGTCGACACCAGGAACACTTGGAACTCAACTAAGAGAAGAGAAGAAAACGAAGGGTCGACACCCAATCTGTAAGGGTTAATACCTGTAAATCTGGGTTTAAAAAATTCCACCTGCCAAGTCAGATCTAGACTGACACAGCTCTTTTCTCAGCCACTTTTCAGAGTTATGCGCAGAATATGTCATATTTTCTGACCTCTGAGTAGATCTTCTGGCACCATATCCTCTCCAAGAAGTTGACCTATGAAGAAGAGTATTAAATAAAAAGGTTGTACATTATATGATCATTTTCTTCTCAAGACCTGTATACAGTCTGCTTTCTCCATACTCTGATGAAAAACAATTGGAAGATTTCCTCCTTTATTTGTGTAGACACCCCAGTTTTGACTGCCTATAAGACTTGGGCGGTTTGTCCTTGTGCACTCAATGATGAAAGTTACATTGTGTGTGATTCAAATGATTAACGAAGGACTCCAAGGTTGGGTTTTGAAATAGTCCCAACACCTTCTTATGTACCTTGTTTTATACTTCAGAGGTCCCTTTTTGAACATTGTGCCACCCTACACTTAGCTTGAAACAGAGAAATAGGGGAGCACATTGGGGCCTAGTCGTGTCTCATTGGGAGTCGGCCGTGCCTTGGTAGCGATAAACACTCATTGGGAGACACCCCATTTTTGACCGTCCTCAAGACCTGGACGTCATCGTTGGAGCACTCGATGATCATCCATGATCGTGTTCGTTTTGAGTTCCCGAAGGACTCGGCTGCGCGCCTTGCCTTAGGATCTCTCAACTTGACTGTTTTGTCCTTGGTTGTGGACCAAGGGCTTGTGTTTTTTTTTTGCTTCTGATGGTAGGTAGTGGCTTGTTAGCCATCCCTGAAACCCATCGGCTAAGGCATGATGCCATCGGCCATGTTTTTTTTTCATCGGCCAAATATTTGGCCGATCGGCACTATCTTTGGCCGGTCGGCACTTGTTTTGGGAAATCAGCCATTTCTCCCGGCCGACCCTTTCTCTTTGTGTCTGTGGAGTTTGGGCTTGCCAGCTAGAGAGCAAAGACTGGCTCCTTCATACACGTGTATGGAGGGATTTCGTCGTTGTGCAAGCTTCTCTAAAAAGCTTTGCGTTTGGATTTCTATAAAGAGGGAGCTCTTCCTCCCTTCTCAGGGGTTGAAAAAACTGAGATAGAAGATATATATCACTCTCTCTCTATATTTGTGTGTTATAGTGCTCTAAAGGGTGTATTTGTTCTTATTTTTACACTAAAGCGCCTAGTAATACACCATCCTTTAGTTACAGAGGTGCTAAAGAGTTGATTCTAGAGTTTTTGAGTTGGTTTTGATCAGAAGGAGGTGCTGGAGTGGTGTTCTTGAAGAGGTTCTTCAAGGGTGAGAAACTATCCTCTTTATTCCCCATTCTTGCATAAGCTTTTAGCCTATCTTGTATACTATTTTGAGCTTAACTTATAACTGATAAAAGTTCTGTTTTTGCATGCTTTTAATCTTTGTTTAAGATCACTTTGGTGTTTGGGATTGTT